TGGCAGGAGGGAGGGGGTGTCCGGCTTCACCTTTTTGTGAAACGCCATTAACTGGCCGCTCGCGTACGACATGGATTTTATCATTAGCGTAGCTCCATCGAGGCTGCCGCGCGCGGAAAAGTTTACCGAGCGTTAATGGGAAAAAACGGAATTTCTTTTGGCTGGAATGTTGCTTTAAAGTAAGAACGATTAATCTTGTTCTTGTATCGCCACCCGGTAAACGGTTCTTCCTTCCCTCCCCTCTCTTTTCTTTCCATTCTTCTTCTTGTACCTTGTTTGTTTTACGCGCGTATGAAGTGGTTCGATCGCCGTAAATAATCGCGAAGCGACAAATGGTGGCAGTTTTGCCCGCGCGTCGAATTACAGCGTGAAACGGTTCTCGCTTGGAGAAGAGATCGACCTCTTCTCCTCCTCCTCCTCCTCCTCCTCCTCCTTTTCCACCCCCTTCAACTCTCGACAAAGTTTTCGCTCCTGTATAATTACTTGTCTTTGTGGAGAAGCTAGCGGGCAAGAGGAAGATGTAATCAACGGCGGAACGATTGCTTAATTGACTTAATCATGGTACGCTTCGTAATAATTATTTTCCCCTTGATTATACCACCGATAAGGGAAATCTATTATACCCGTATACGCTTTCCAACTTTGCATTCGTAGTATCGGGGTGAAAAAGGAGTATCGGCGGAGTAATTTATAGCCGAGTTTCGACGTTTCGTCTACGATATATCCGGGAAACCAGCGTCTCCCTCCTCCCGGCGATCGATTCGTCCTCGTACTTTCATTTCGTCCCCGCTGCCTTTTCGGGTTCAGTTCGCCAGAGAAGCCGGAGAGTCATCCCCTTCGGCGACTTGTTTCGGGTAATTAAATCCAGGCAGCCCGACGAGATGTCGGAGCCTGATAAATGAAGTGTTCCTCCACCAGGACGAGGGAGAGCCTCCTCGAGAGGGTGGCGAGGCGAGCGGAGGCGAGGTCGAGGGGTCATGTGAATATTGCAGGACTTTTCATCGCGCTCGTCGCCTATTTCTCGCTTTTCCTCTCGATTTTTTCGAAAAAATCCGAAAACGATATCGCGTTACATTACAGATCGATAACGAAATCGGGGATAACGATTCGCCATTAACGAGTCTTAACTCCGGGTGGGTGGAAGGTAAATAAGGAAAGGTTCGATATTCGGTTCGACATGGTTGAATGAAATATGACGGGTCTTTGTGCGACGCGATAAATAAAATGCGTTTTTCATGTACCGCGACGTATCTGTACACACGGGCCCTACCCGTCTATTCTGTATTTACCGTATTCACGCCGCCAGATTGCATTTATACGGGCAAAGCCGCGAAGGCGGCCCTGTGACGAAGGCATATTTAATTCAGCCGACCCACCGTTCCGCCATTGTACGCGTTACATCGCGTGTGCCGTGGTGCACGCGTTTCTACCCGGCTCACAAAGACAAATTTCAACAGTAAACACGACTGGATCTGTGCCAACTGTATTTTTTCCCGAAACGCGTTATCGCGTCGAGCTTATTCGGCATTACTTTTGCAGGCCACGATTAATGATTTTCTCCTATTACTCGCGATTTTCCAATATCGATCCAAATTCGACGAACACAACTATTTCGATATATAAGATATCGATATCGAATAACAACGAGATGAAACGAATTATGGAATTTTTCAAAGTAATAATCCCATGATGAATATTTCATCGCGTCGACAAAAGCGAGGAAGAAAGTCGAGTCCTCCCCTGTATTAAGCGTACGTAATGGATACCTATAGCGTTTCTTCGTTCACTTTACATCGTTGGGCGTAATCTAACGTTGTTGGATTTACGTTTGGAAAGTATATTTGTAGATAGAACGCGACGTATTATATCTCCTCCCCCATTAACTGTGGATGTTCGATTACGAATCCGTCGTAATTCAAAGGTTCGCGATATCTGTTGCCCACGGACATATTTCAACATCGTCCTCAGCCATGCGGCCTATAATCCCCAAGGATTTGCTGTACACATGTTCGTCCCGTGCAAACTGTCCTCGAAATGTTCGATATCCCCCTATGTATCCACGGTGGGAAGATCAATGTCGCGCGTTTGGTTACGAATGTTGGATGATTTCTGGTCGCACCTGAGGCCATTTGTGAAGTTCGTGCTCGCGGTTCCATCCTACCGACAGCTCCGGAGGATCGATCTTCGAACGAGTTATCGATCCCTGCCTCCCTCTCTCCTCCTATAGGAGAGAGGGATATTTCATATTTTTGATTCCGTCGTGATCCCGGGGAAAATTGTGAATCCCACGGTTTTCAGAGTCAACTTAGTTCCCACCATTTTTCTCGCCCGCCCTGATTTCTTCTTTCAACGGACGGTCGCCTTCCTCGTTTTTTGTACCGCGCGCCACGAAACGTAATATTTCCAGGGCGCGCGTCTCGCAGGCTACCAATCTTCGCGGAAGCAATAATAGCGCACCGTCCATCCAACTGTCCATTCGGCCTAGTCCTCTTCGTCTTTCTTTCTCCCCGTGTGTCGTCCCTTGCGGCTCGTTCCTCATCCGCTATCCTGTCGTGGATACCGAAACTCGAGCAACCCATCTTTCTCGCGTTTGTTCCCTCTTCTTCTTCTTCTTCTTCTTTCTCCACCCGTTCCTTCGCTTTTTCTCGTTTAGCGTCGATATTTGCCTCGACGAAACGAAATCGCCTCCGCACATACCGACGAGTGACGCGGTGGTGGTTCGTGTTTGAACTATAGTAATTTGAGACAGGCTAATGAAAGTGCTACGCAAACACCGTCGCGACGCCCCGACGTCAAAGCCTCTGCTTCCCATCCCTAGGAACCATCCTACCCACCCACCTGTCATTTCGTTTTTTCCTTTCTTCCCTCGCCACCGTGCTCTCTTCTATCTATCGAACGGCCGATTCCATTTTCCCGCCTATGCAAATAGAAGGCGATAATCTGATAAATTCGCGTGAAACATTATTGTAACATCGCGTAAATCGCTCGGTGCGTGATATTCGTGATCGTGTCTCTTTCTCTCGCTATTGTTTCCGAATCGGTGTTAATAATTCGCGTGGCCAGCAGATCACGCAAATATTAAATCAAACTTCTTTCGCGTTCACGCGAGAAGAGGCGGAAATTGCTTTTTAAGCGCGCTACCTTGTTGCATTCGTTTTCTCTCATGTTGATACTAATAGAAACGAATACGGGACCCGTGACACGAACGCGCGCGCAAACTTTCAACGCCGTTTCTTTCGTTATTAGATACAAATCATTTTCACGATCGAAAGCTACGAAGGAAAAGTAAAAATTGAAATGAGAAAAGAAATTGAGGAAATCGTTTGAAACGATCGAAAGTGTAAAAATATTTTACTTTCGACAGTTCGATGCAATGAAAATACGATAAAATAAATAAGAAATCACATTTCGATACGCGCAAGATTTATTCTCTTGGCACTGGGTGGGATAGGACTCGATAATCCGAGGGCAGTGTGCAAATCCAAGTTTTGGCAAACATTTTTTTTCATTTTCTCCACCGTTTGCTCCCTCTTATACGAGATTATCGCGTTAAAGCTTTAATCTTAAGAATAACTGCCATTTCCAAGCCTTTTCGAATCCGTTTCGTTAACTCTTGAGAGAACAGTTCCTCCTCTTCCAAAAGTTTCTCCAACTTGCCAACTGGTAATTTCCACTAATGCTGCCCCCTCCCCTAACGCGTTATGTTTCTTTCGAGGTAGTTTACGAAACTCGCGATTCGATTTGTGCATGTTTTATTCTCGGATCGCGCCGATCGAATCCACTCGTGTCGTTGAAGAGGACTAAAAATATATCCTCCTCGTGTGGATGGTAAAACTCGATGGTAGGCGCATCCGAAACCATATGGCGGTTGGATCGTTTCTGGTTTACAGAGTGGGTATAAGAGTCGAGTGTGCGAGAACGATTTCTGGAACTATCTTTTCGAATGTTGTTGCCTCGAATAGGCGGTTCTTGCGTATAATTTTCAAAAAGAAATCGTTGCGTTTCGACCGAGAGTTCGATGGAAGCAAAACAATTGTTGTATCGATGATTGTTTACGCGGTAAATATCGCATTTTTCGCGAATGAAAAAGCGAACGAAGAGTTTTCCAACGAAGCTTTGTTTCCGAAAAAAATTGAATTTAAGAATTCCTTTATATCGATGAAATGTAATTTTTTTTTCATTTTACATTTTCCATTCTCCCTCCACGCGAGCACGAACAAAAGAATTCTCTGTTTGGTTCATCGAACTAAAAAATCCGTTCCTATCTATTTATTTATCACTTTTAATAGGAAAAATTAATTTTCCCTCTTCTATTCTTCTTCGATCGATGAGATCTCGTAAAAAATTTTGCGCGCAAATTTGCGTGTTTGGTCGTCACGAGTCACGAGATACGGGAGGAGAAAACACGTTTCGTTACACGTGAACGATGTAGTTACAACGGGTTAGTTGTTAAATGTCGTTAAACGTCGTTATGGTCGCGACGATAATTATCATACGTCGGGAACAAAGGGGTAGGGCAGGGTTGCAGGGCACTCTGTAAAAGATCCGGCCACCCTCCTCTCTCTCTCTCTCTCTCTCTTTCCTTTTCCGCCGTAATTTCGAGACTTCCTATGGGCGGCGGTCGCGCCAGATACCTCGTATTAATTCGAGGCGAGCTTTCGAGGCCGTTTTAAGCTTTACGATCCGCCCATAAAGATTCTCCTCGCTGATAATTATACGTGGACGAGAGAAATTGTAAATCGTTATCACGTCCGCCTCCCTCTACAATATTTCACATTTTCGATATCTTTTTTTCCCCTTTTCGCGTGTATTTTTGCAAATTTTAATCTCGAGGGAGGGGCGAGTGGATTAAACGAGAAAGTCGAAAACGAGCATTCGAAGCTTCTTTCCGGCTGATCCACTCCCCGATTCCGATTAATCCCAAAAATGATGTACGGAATTATGTTTATCATTCGACGCATTCGGAGCCATTCTGTCAGGTATCGATCGATCCGGAACGGAATTACGAATTAATACATTTGTGGCGGTGGCGGATGAAATTCGACCGATTATCAGGGATAACTGGCCGAACGATCGTGTTTCGAAGTCCCGAAACATCAGGAATGCTCCATCCTCTCCACATTTCTATCTCATTCCCATCGACCATTTCCATTAGCTCGAAATGTAATACAGCGTTGCGCAACGAGCAACACACACACACACATCGATGCGCGATTCCCTAATATAGATCTATCCACGTTTCTATCTGTCCGTTTCTCTCATTCCCCGCAACGATTTTTATCCACGTATCTCCGCTACGCTTGTATCGAATTTCTCGGACAATCGTGCATCTTAGTTTCCCCGATGGTGGATAAGCGGCGATCGAGATAACCGATTCTCGTTTCACGATCGTAAACATGTTTGGATTCCGAACGCAGCAATAAAATCCACGGTAGTTGGCGGAAACTAACGTTTGATCGATCGTGAAAAACGATGAAAGTTGCAACATAACCGGGAACAAGGAGAGGCAACAACAGGTATAATCGAGTAAGACAGCTACCTCGATTCGATTTTGTAAAATCAAAGCCAGATGTTTTTCCTTCCTTTCCATTCAATTGGAGAACGAGGTTTTTCTTTTTTCGAAAATATTAATTTTCCAAACGTTGTTAATAATTAATTAGAACAAGAAAGATTAGAACAAGAAAAGGATGACGAAGATCGGATCGTAATAATAATTGAATGATAGTTTTGCGCCCTATCTCTGGGTTAATGGAGTTTCCAAGATGCTTGGAAGGGCAATGAAAGGCGAAGGACTGGCGATGCTGACACGAGCTACATTTCTTTATCGTCTCTTTATCCGTTCTTACCCATGGCAAGTGCTCGAAACGACGGAAGGTTAGACAGGTTCTCGAAAATGATGGATGTCTCCCTTTCCTTCCCTCGAACGATTCAACCTTCGTCGGTTCGAATTGATAGTTATTGATAGCTACTTGGGACTAACCTGACTCCCGGAGTCGGATTTGATCGATGTCACGCACGATAGAGCGTTCTAATTATGATCGGACCGCCGCCAATTACCCATAATCGTCTCTAAGTTATAATTACACGCTCGACCTCGCTGCGATTCTCTTCGAGTCGGATGGAACGGGATGGAAATATTTCCTTTGGAATTATTTGAAAAATAATCATTTTGGAAACGACGTACGTGGACAGTTTCTATATATGACGAAACGAATGGACGTGAATGCGGGGGGATCGGGAAAAAATGACGCTTTGTCCGGATCCGTTATGAGATTTTATGGGAACGGAGATTAATTGTTTATCGATGGACGGGTCGGAGGGATGGGCGAGACGAGGGGTGTAAAAAATTATTGGGACACAAAAGACGGAGGAAGAAGAATAGCTGCGAATCGGAGCGCGTGTTTGCCGGCCAAATTACATCTGCATAATAGGCACGCGGTCGGCTATCGATCCACGAGTGGCGTCTCTTCATCACATTCGGCGTCGTGCATCTCGAGCGCGCACGCACTCGCCCGTGCACGCACGCACGCACGCCGCAAGAATTAAATTTCGTCTGTGGTGGTAGTTTTCATCGATTAGAGGAATACCCTGCCGTCATTCGGTTACGTTCGCAGTGGATCCACCCATCCGCCATATTTGGACAACGAATCGATCGAGATCGCGTTCTCCACGTTCTCCTTTTTGC